TTAATACGTAGTATTTATAAAATATCTATACAGTTGTTACAGTACAGTAGTCTAACAGAAGAGTTAGTTTAGCAACCTGTAGCATTGCGATTATGATGTAAAAATCTATAGCATGTAGTTATCACATAGAAATCTCTAGCAGTTTAGCAAGGTAACATACATAGGACAAAAACTCAAAGATTCCTCCTCTTACTAGAGAAGGCCAYTTAACCTCCACATCTCAGCTTGCTTATCTGTAAAATGCAGCTAATAATAATAATAATAACATGTATCCCACAGGATTTCTGTGAGAAGAAGTTACAACTCACACACAAGCATTTACTATCCTGGCGCTATGGTGATTACTCAATAGAAACCTTGCTATTTGCAGACATATCTCTTTGGAAAGGTTGGCTGGCTGCTCTTCAAGTTTAGAGAACCATTTAGATATAGTCTGTTCTGAGTCAACCTAAGTGTAAACATAATACAAAAGAGGCTATTAATAAAGCATGCTGAGCTATTGCTGACTTAAGCTAAGCAGAATAAACATTATAAATAACTTATTAGGAGAGGTTCCATGTGAGTTGCCCATACATCAGTAAAGTTTTAGGAATAAAAGGAGCCTTTAGCCCAATCCCTTCATCTCAAATGGGGAAAAAAAGGCCCCATGAAAGTTCACAGAGCTAGTCAGGAATAGCACCAGGCTCTTGCCTCCTGACCCAGTATCTACCAAAGATAGCAAAAACAGAGGAAATCAAGGTCAGGGCTCCTAGAACTTGTTCTAATGTGTGCATGTAGTTTTTACCACTTTGATTATGGGTAGTTTTCACAGAGGAAGGTGTGTATATATAATTCTGCTGGGTGTGGTGCTGCATGCCTGTAATCCCAGTGACTTGGAGACTGAGGCAGGAATGAGCACATGTTCAAAGCCAGCCTCAGCAACTTAGTGAGGCCCCCATGCCACTTAGCAAGACTCTGTATCAAAATAAAATATAAAAAGGGCTGGGGATGTGTTAAGCATCCTGGGTTGAATTCCTAGTACCAAAAACATAAATAAAAATAAATAAAATTCAAAAACACACTTTGCCAGTGTTTACCAAAAATACGAAAGAGTCACCATAACTTTATTCTGATTAGAAAATCTGCCCAAGATTAGTGATGAAGTACTATTTTTAAAAGTATAAGAGTATATTTTTAAAAGTATGTAATGAACTGAAAGAAAATAGTTATACCCCAAATGCCTTAAACCCAACTAATTACTTCCCCCTGTACTATTAAGGTTAGTGACATTTTAAACAGTGTATTGTCTGGGTGTGGTGGCACACGCCTATAATCCCAGCTTCTCCAGAGGCTGAGGCAGGAGAAGACGTTCGAGGCCAGCCTGGGCAACTAAGGGAGACCTTGTCTGAAAATAAAATTTGAAAAGAGTTGGGGATATAGCTCAGTGGTAGATAGTTTGCCTAGCAAGCCAGAGACCCTGGGTTCAATTCTCAGWACTGGAAAAAGAAAAGCATACTTACTATATTAATTAATTAAAAATATTGTGGCAAAATGGAGTAGCAAAGCTTTCAGTAGGGATGTGGGACTGCTGACTGGAGTGGGTTGAATAATGTCTCCCCTAAAGTCATGGCCATCCAGAATTTCATAATATGACCTTAATATAACTACATCATTACAGATGTAGTTAAGGAAAGGTTAGAGATGAGCATTTAGTAATTAGGGAGGGCTCTAATCCAATGAATGTCCTCAGAAGAGACAGAAAGGAGATGACACAAAAACACAGAGCAGGAAGTGATATGAAGACGGGGCAGATACTGGTGTGATGTGTCTGTAGGCCACCAGATGCYAATATGGCTGGCAGCCACCAGGGTCCAGGAGGGGGCCTGGCACAGTTTCTCCCTCACAGTGTACAGAAGGAACCGGTTCTGTGCACACCTTAGTTTTACACTTCTGACTGAGAGGGTCAATGTCTGTAGCTTGAAGATAATCAGTTTGTGGTTGTTACATCAGCTTTTAGGGCACTGACACATTGGTTATGACAGAATCATTTGTTTCTAGTTTCATTTGATTAGAGAAAGAACAGGATTTATGACTTATGCTTTGAGATAAGTTTCACCTTAAAAAAAGCAGAAAAGTAAAGAGTTGGTTAATGTAATTGGGGTAGCCAGTCTCCAAGGAGGCCCCAGTGATTCCTGCCTCCTGGTGTTTCACACCTGTATGTGGGTCCCTCCCATACTGAACAGGGGTGATACGCATGAACTGCAGGAAATTGGGGAAATGCCAGAATGTGACTTCCAAGGCTAGGTCACAAGAGACATGCAAGATTTGCTCTCTCCTGGCTTGCCTGGGGGAAGCTAACCACTGTGTTAGGAGGGCATTCAATCAGCACCATCTGAAGAGGTCCACGGAGCAAGGACCTGGCTCTCCTAACATCAATCACTAGCTTTTTATGCATGTCCTTGAACCATATTGTGGATGGTCCTCCAGCCCCAGTCAATCTTTCAGATTGACTTCAGGCCTCACTGACATTTCAATTTTATCATTCAGTGAAGATACACCAAACCAGAGCACCCAGCTAAGCTGTGGCCAGATTCCTGACTTTCAGGGTGAAAGGATGAATACTTATTGTTTTAAATTTCCAAGTTGGGGGAAATTATTTTTATGCAGCAATAGGTAACTAATACAGTCAGAACTATAAAATTGTAAAAGAGCTCCTAGTTTCCTCCTCCYTTGAACTATTGTAGTAGATTCCAAACTGTCTCAGTCCTTCTGGTATTTTCCTTTGAATGAAAGTTGTTCAATTGAATATAGGGCAAATACAAATCATCATTTATAACATATGATGATAGGGAAAATCCAAGATGAACATGTACGTGACTTTTTTTAGTGAAACACCATCAGTACTTAGAAACATTCTCTATGTTATTCCCTGAATGGCCCCTACTCAGGAGATATTTACTATTCTAGCGAATTTTGTGTTTTCATTCATTTGTTTTCTCTAAGATTTACCAATGAACTGTTTAGTTTTGCTTATTACTGTACTTGACTAAACAACATTATGCTCCTGAGATCCTGCACCCACCTTCCCTATAGAGGCGGCCCCCTTTCCCACTCAATCCTGTGACCTTGTTTCACTGGCTTCAGGGGGCACTTATCTCTGTCTAAAACAGGCTTATGCATGCTTTTGTCACTTCCAACTCTTTTGCTGAGGGGACAGCTCTGTGAAGGTTGGTGCTACGTCTGCTTTGCTCACTGATATTTCCCTGTGAGGCAGTGCCTGGCACACAGTAGGTGCTCCATAAATATTTGTTGAGTGAACATATAAATAATGGTTTGGCCAAAAAAAAAAAAAAGGGAGAGAGAGATTGGTGGTTCAAACCTGGGGATGATTTTACTCCCAGGAAACTGTCAATATCTGAAGACACTTTGAGGTTGTCACAAGTGGGTTAGGAGGCAGTGCTGTGGAGTCTCCTGTAATGAATGGATGACTCCAACAATGCAGGATTATCCAGTGCAACATGTTAATAGAGATGAAAGCTTTGCCTTCGATAAAAGATGATGATAATGATGATAATAAAGGTGTCCAAATGACCTTTAAAAAGTAACTAATTTTCTTCTTTTTCTAATTTTGTTTTGGGGACAAAATTAAAAGAATTGTGAGATGGGAGAAGTATTTTAAATGGTAGAAATCATGAAAATATAGTGAAATAAAATTCTATGCTCATAGGTAGGCTTAAAAGAATTTTCAGTGGCATAATGAACCAGGTGAGTTTTTTAGTACTTAAAAAAATGAGCAAGAATGCATARATTTGGTTGGAGTTGTAATTTAGTGTTTTAAAGAAGAACCCTGCCTAATCAATAAGGTCTTAAAATACGGAAGTTAATTACTTAGTTGAATTTCATTTTATTACCATAAAAGAGATTTTTAAACTTTTAAAATGCAGACAATTAATGGACTTATCCAGAGCAGTAGAGAAACCCACAGTAARGATAAGGCAAAGCACAGAGTAATCTATAAATTCCACAAACCAGGATCTCTGCTGAGATGCTGTTGTGGTTGGAGCCTGTGCTGCAGGATCACGTGATCTGAGGAATTTTSTGGAACACTCTCCTTTTTCCCATCGAAATTGATTTCCTCTTTTTTATTTTTCTGGACACATGGCTTGACTTGTGTTGCCATACTCACCATCCTTTCATTGGCAAATATTTATGGGAAACCTACTGTGTACCTGGCACTCAGCAGATAGGAGTGAGCTAAGTAAAAATACTTGCTTGACTCTACATTACTACTGAAGGTCTTAGGGCCTCAGGGTGGCTAAATCATCCTTATCTGCAGGAAAGATGACCTCAACTCCTCCAAAGAAATTTCCTTCAAATGTTTTTAGTGAAGCAATTAAAGTTTTCAAATTTAAACATGTTAAACATCTAAACTAAAAATTTTGCAAATGATAAAAACTTTTTTTTT